TTTTAAATTACTTATTTATACAATTAGGGTTATAGTGTGGTTTATATCATTTAAATTCCTTGTGCCCACGGCTAGGTGGCTAAATGAGCCCAACAACCGTAACCCGCTGCAAGCATCTCTGACGGGAAATACTGTATTCGAGGTCTCGGAATGCGAAATTTCGGCACACTAGCGGTTGAATTCCAAAGAAACGTTTTCTGGAGGAGAATTTCTAGGCGGACAGATGCGCTTGATGTTTTCCGACAGATTTTCTCCGAATCAACAACAAAGACGAAAAATGAACCGGAAAGTACCATAACAAAACACCACAAATTCAGGCGCTTTATCTTTTCCCCCCTTCCTCTATCCCTGGTTGCAAATCTATCCTTACACACACATACATAACACACAACTACACACTCAATCATAACAACACTACAACCACACACAACGACTAATTTATTACCTCGCGCAACTTTTTATTGAAACGTTGGGATTTGAAAGAAAGCGGAGTAAGAAGTTAGGCGGTTTATTTTACGTAAATCAGCCACTAGATATTTTTATGAAGCCAATGACACGTACTGGAGAATCAACGTCGAGCCTTTCGTAATTCTTCTCATAATTCCGCGTTTCTAACTTTTCCCCCTTCAGGAGTTTTCGAAGATGACTTCCCTTCTGTGGGGATAGATATTTTTCTTGCTTAAGGTCATTTCCTTTAGATTTTTTAGAAAAAAATACGGAAAGAACAGTTCCCTCGTCCTTCAACAGAAAAATAGTTTCTATTTTGCGGCCAGTTGGAGGAGATTGTTTGGGAATGTTGTAATCAGTGCTCGCTGCGAGCTTTTGACTTCAACTGTTTATTGTACCAGAGAGGGGGAATCAAGGTCATCGTTCAAGAAAAGTTGCCCGAGTAATACCACATATCGTTTGGCCAGCATACGAGCTTATCCTGGGTGGAGTATGGTCTCGCGGGGGGGGGAGATACCTGGAGTGAAGAGGAGTAAATTGATACCGGTTCTCACTTTCCAGTTTGTGAGGAACACCGCCACCTCCCGGATATATCATGCACTTCAATCACGGGACTTGTGATTTAAGTCGGTGACGCGATTGGAAACACGTATTACTCACACACTCACTTTCAATTTTTGGCAGATTTGCTCGTCCTATATGATCTGAAGGTAGACACGTTTTAGCGACAAATCGTGAAATTTATCAGCAATTTTTTAGCTTTTGTTTTCGTCTTATTTGACTGATTAATGTTGAATTGTGCTTGTATAAATGTAAACATTGCCAGCATTCTTACACTAGACATTTTAAATGAATCCTCTGGCCGTAGCACGAAGGATCTGAGTGTGATTATTTCGGCTGCCTTTTCTTTAAAGTTTAATTCAAGTATTCTATTATTGGAATTATTATTTATTGTAAAATTTTCGTAATAAACTTTCATTTTCGTAAAAAGTTGGCAATATTTACATTTATACACGCACAAATCAACATTCATCATCCAAGTTGCTAAAATTTCTGGGAAGTTTCGGCATTTGTCTTTGAAAGCTTTTCTCTCTTCAGATCATATAACCAAAGAACTTAAAAATCTAACTCTGCATCAAATCACTGAAGTTTTACATTTCGTTACATTCTTCTGAAGAGTTAAGTAGACAATATAATGTAGATTAAAAACACCAATCTCAATTTAGCTGAAAGCGTTCTTAGTTAAAAAACGAAGTGGACGAAATCTAGCGGGAAAGGAATCATCGCCACCCCTCAGGATAAAGCATTCACTGCACTAACGGGACTACCATAGTAGTTGACGGGCCAGAAAACACCAGTCAATCAATCAAAGGTATATAAGAAAGGATGCCTCTTCAAAGGATGATGAAATATGCCCTATAATTTAATAATCAAATGTTAATGTTAGGTTATGCTGCTAAAGAAATATTTGTGATTTTTTATTACACTATTACTACTGCCTGTACGGCCTGTAAGGCACCCAATATTTTTTTTTATTTAATAACATTCATTTTAAAAGATACAGTGTAGCTGGGGAAAATGTTAACGTCACTTTTTTTAATTATCAATTAAAAATTTTATTATTTTAAAATAAAATATATATTTGTATGTGTCTTTCTACAGATCACGTAAGATCTCTCTTCTTTCATATATTAATCAAGGTGTTTAAAACATTCAAATGTTTGTTTAGAAACAAATTGAAGTTTTCTTCTCAATCAAATTTCGTGATTTATCTTTGTTTTCATTTATTATATCACTTTCTGATATGACTTCTTGTTTTATGCCTGGACATAAGTGCATGTGTTGTTGAGTTATCCTTTTGCTAGTTGTGGAAGAAGGAGAGTCGCGCTTGTTGTTAGTAATAATACAAACGAGTTAGTAATAATACAAAATCAAAATGTCTTTCCTTTACGGCAGAACATAAATTTTCTATAATACGAGAACAAAAGTAAAGTTTTCAAATGTTGCTGACTTCGCTTTACTCCAACTTTTATTTATAATTCAACTATTTGAGGTTAAAGGATGAGGAAGAAATTCTGGAGCTCAAGAAAACGTGGCCGATTGAACTTCTCCACTATATATCACTTAAAGATTTTATTTTTTGTAGACCAAAATAAATCAAATGAAAATGAACACTTATATTAATGTACGACAATTAATGTAAGATTCTGTACATTTCAATTTAAAAAAGAAAATTTCGATACTCCGCGCCTTTGTAAAAATATATATCGATTTTGCGGAAACCTTACTGACATATTGAGCATATGGATCAAATACGATAGGAGGAGAGAGCACAAAAATTGACCAAACACATGTAATTTCAAGTCAAAACAAAAAGCACGTTCAAATCGCTTTACACATATTAACAGAAACTGCTATACACACGCGAGTCTAATTCTGGGAGATTTAATTTCATATCTGTTAACTAAAAATGCCACGAGGAATGTAATAAAAGTATCCGCGAAGGCGTTCTGTGTATTGCTTTCATCATCCCTAATGAATTCCTAGTATAATATTGCGCCTCACTTCGATTAAGGCTTGTCGCACTTCGGTTTAGGCAATAAGTGAAGGTAGCATCAATGTATATCAAATTAAATATTTTTAAACAACGTTGGTTAGGGCAAATAAATTTATCGGGAAAAGTAATAATGTAATTACAAAAAGAAATGTAAATCCATAAACGTTGTGAAGCATTATTTACAATATTGGAGAATGATTAAAGAACAACATAATAATAACCTTGATATAGTTGGTCATTGTACGGTTACAAGTCAATTCATATAGTATGGTCACAAGACAATTTACAAATGAAATATAAATATTCCTAGTTTAAAATTGGTTGATGTTCAATTTAAGCTGAAATACGATTGAAAAATTGAATTTGTACTTTTAATTATATTCTCAAGTCATTTTTTTTACGAGTTTATGCGTTTTGACTGAGTATTTTCATTTTACTGTAATGCTTTCTGAATTTTCCAAGATTAATAAAGACATCTAATCTCTTTGAACAGTTGGCATGAAGAGTTTCGTTTTTGCATCACTTAATGTAAAACTAAACAATATCATCAGAATAATGGATCGTGAATTGTGGGTGGAATTTTTTGCCATTCACATTTAGGGTCTATGAGATTTTTAGGTTATGTAACGTTCAAAGTTAACATTTTTAATTACTTGGCATTCGTGTGACAACCACAAATTGCCTGGATCATTAGTTAAATTGGATCTCGAAAGTTTATATTTCTGATATTCTCTCTGCAGTGAGTATTATATCAGGAGTCTGAATGCATTTCAGTCCCTTATATTGCATGATTGAACAGACATAAAAACAAGTGAAAATATACAGCATTAGTACGTAGATTGATTCTTGTGTCGTGAACTGAAATTTCTGACATTATATATTCTAAAGGACATAAACTAAGTGAGAGAAAAAACACAACTTTAGCTTCATCTGAACAAGATGTACTCAACAATTTTCCTGAACCTACGATAATACCAAACAGACACAAAATGTCTCCTCAGTTATTATAGGATTAGAGAGGGAAAAGTCTGAAAATTAATAAACTCTTTATCGTCGTTGAAGGGTCGCGTTTTTATTATGACGCGTATCTACTATTTTAAATACTACTACTTTTAAATTAAATATTTCCTAGGAGACTTGCAAATCACATTAAAAAATATTTTCCCCAGTACGGTGAATTTCTAAAGAAATGAAACCAATTGTTTCCTTTAACGTATCTAATAATATTTAATTAATCCATTTTCAAAGAGTTCAACAACACGGAAACAAAGTTAAAGTATTCCTTAATACACGCTCTTCGAAACCAAATGAATGTGTAACGTATGCATGCAAACACAATGCGTATTTACAAAACACTTGCGTCGAGCGAATTCACTTCCTCGGTTCTGTCCTTGAGAATGCAGATGAGCTACACAATAGACCGGAAAGTCTTTCAGTTCACTCAATGTCACACGATAGCAGACACCTTGGTCGCGTTTCTTTGGTTTCAACAAAAGCTAACGATGCTGATGACAAGGGTCCTCCAGAAAATTTTGGTGGCTAATAGGATCGTTATCCTTCAGTAGTACACGTGCGTCTTGTATGCTTCTGAGTAGATCAACCTAATTACTCGTGGTGGGAGATTCGTTCACAAATAACCTTGCTTTCCTTTAAAATATAAAAGATCCTTCGATCTGGACCAGCAGCAATCCCAGACCACTGCATTCCACAGCTGGGAAAACAAGTGCCGGCGACAGCGCGACGCGGCTGGGGACCAATGGCGAGGCGCGAGCGCGCGCGCGGCGGGGGCGGCGGGCACGGCCATTGGCCCACGGGGCACGCTGCCCAGCGCCGGCAGACGCAGCCCGCAGGGCTTCGACTCTCCGTGCTGGACCGCGAGGTGGCGAACGACCAGAAGCACTCCGCGGCAGCGGGCGGACGAGAGGGAAGAAGGCGCGGCCGGCGAGCGCCCGGAAACCGCGAAGCGACCCTCACGGCACATCTCGCGGAACCTTACCTTCATGAGCACGGATTCGCTGAGCTTCTCTCGATTGATGATCTTGATGGCGACCTTCTTGCCCATAACACAGTGGACCCCCAGTTTGACGAGGCCTGCGGGCAGAGAGAGAGAGTGGCCAT